ACACACACACACACACACACTCACACACACACACACACACACACACACACTGATGAGAGATTCCTTGTCTCTTTATGTTCTGCTACAATAGCTCTTTGTTAAACACATGGAAAGGAATCTCTTTCTCTCTTTTCGCTCTCAGTCTGTCTTTTATCAAATCTAGTCTTGTTCATTCTCAAAATCACAAACAAAGTAAAATATGACCGACTGATAACAAGAATCATGTCTGTGATTTTCCAGCAGGATTCAGTGATCTTGCAGAACGTCTGTCCATCTGTGATTCTCTCGTTCTTTCACAGGACAGACGTATATCTGTCTTTTGTTGTGCCGTCCTGCTGTCGGTCATCAGAAACTCCCACCGGCAGATGTTTTACGGTGTCGTCCTGAAACTGACTGGACGAGCGGAGCTGATGACCGAACGCATACATGAGCTCTGAAGCGCGAGCGAATCACATTCATCCTCTACAGAGGGACAGACAGTGAGTGACCCGTCTCACCTCTGGGTTTCTATTACCAGTCACTAAAACTAAAACCATAAAAACACAGTGTCGTTACTTGAAATAAAAGAACAGTTAACTGAAATAAAATATATATTTTTAAAAACCTAAGCGTATTTTATTTCATCTAGTTGCCATGGCAACATTTATCATTTTTATTTATTTAAACATTAAGTACTAAAATAACTGTTAATGTATTAGAAATTAATATACAAACATAATTAAAAAATATAGTAAATAATAAATATAACACAAATGCTTGAAAAATTAGTAAAAAAATTTGTAAAACTTGAAAATGAAAATAAAATTAAATCTAATTCAAAATGTTAACTAAAACTATAATAGTGTCACAAAACTGCACAGGGACACGAAGGCTGAAGATCCAAGTGCAGTAGTTTATTAAAGTCTAATCAAGTCCCCTTTATTTATATAGCGCTTTAAGCAGCTTTACAGTGTCAAACAGGAAAATAGTTTGTCAATAATGCAAGAAGTGAGTGTAAATTTTTCAGTTAAGGTCAGTTCATTGATGATTCAGTGTTGTCATCATCCAGTTCAGCTCTCTTCCAATAGTGTCTGTGCAATCAAGCCGACAATATTGCCAGAAATTAAGCTTCCCCAACTAAGCAAGCCAAAGGGGACAGTGGCAAGGAACCGAAACTCCATCGGTGACAGAAATGGAGAAAAAAACCTGGGGAGGAACCGTTCTTCTTATGGAAATTGTTCCAGTTGACCTAATTAATGCAGCCTAACAATCCTTTAACGAAAAGTGATATGTGTATGCCAGGTTAAAGAGATGAAAGTGACGTGACATGTGGCCAAGTATGGTGACCCATACTCGGAATTAGTGCTCTGCATTTACCCATCCAAAGTGTTTTGAAAATTCAAAAATCAGCTCTCTTCCAATAGTGTCTGTGCAATCAAGCCGACAATATTGCTTCCCCAGATGGGTGTATAATCTAGATTTAAACTGACAAAGTGCATTCCATTAGTTTTGCAAATAGGTATGTATTGTCGTGCTGCAAAGAAATATAGAGCTGAGTATCATCAGCATAACAGTGAAAGCTAGCACCATGTTTCTTGATGATATCTCCCAAGGGTAACATGTAAAGTGTGAAAAGCAGCGGTCCTAGTACTGAGCCTTGTGGTACTCCATACTGCATTTGTGATCGATATATCTCGTCATTTACTCCTACGAATTGATGATGGTCAGATAAGTAAGATTTGAACCATGACAATGCAATTCCAATAATGCCAACAGAATTTTGTAGTCTACTCCAAAGAATGTTGTGGTCGATAGTGATGAACGCAGTGCTAAGATCCAGGATCTATGACTTCTAGAAGCACCTCTTTTAGTAGCAATACTAAATTTACACAATACTTTTAGTTTATACAATTCTTCCTGTCCTATAGTAGAGAATGAGTGGAATTGTTCCTCAGGGGATCTATAGTGCACTATCTGATGCGATACTATGGCTGACGGCTGCATGGTTATAATTTTATCTCTAATAGTATTGATCTTGGAAGTAAAGAAGTTCTTAAAGTATTTACTGCTGTTCTGTTGAGAAACGTCTGCATCTGTTGATGCTTTATTTTTCGTTAATTTAGCCACTGTATTGAATAAATGCCTGGGGTCGTGTTTGTTCTCTTCTAAGAGAGACGAAAAGTAAGTAGATCTAGCAGTTTTTAGAGCTTTTCTATAAGTAGAAGTACTTTCCCTCCATGCAATACGAAATACCTGTAGTTTTGTTTTCTTCCAGCTGTGCTCCAGGCTGCTCTCTTTAAGGCGTGCGTGTGCTTGTTATACCATGGTTTCGAACTGTTTTCCTTAATCTTCTTTAAGCGTAAAGGAGCAACCGTATCTAAAGTGCTAGAAAAGAGAGAGTTAATAGTTTCTGTTACACCATCAAGTTTTTCTGAGCTATTAGATTTGCTGTGGAATTTAGAAGTCAGGAAGATTATTTACAAAGCACTCTTTTGTGGTAGAAGTGATGGTTCTACAATATTTGTAACAAGGAGTTGAATGTGCAGCCATATGGAGTATACATGAGACTAGATAATGATCTGAGATATCATCACTCTGCTGCAGAATTTCAACACCATTAACATCAATTCCGTGTGACAGTATTTAATTAAGAAAATCACTTTGGCTCAGTTTTGATCAAATCTTATACTTGGAAGTCATTATGCTTTATATATATATATTTATTGTTTGTTATCTTACTATTTGTTATTTTAATATTATTTGTTGCTCATATTTGTGAACTCTGTTTGCACTCTTTTTTTCTTTTTTTACACTGTTTTCATTGTGTGCACTCACAGCAAATGCTTTGGCAGTACAAATACACTGTTGCATCTGTTTGAATCTGTTTTCTATTAAGTGTTCTATTAGATTTTTTTCATTTCTTCATGGTGTTTGTTGTGAATATCTGTCAGACAGACTGACTCCGTCACATGAATTAGCGGCTGTATCAGTGTTAGATGACACATGTTCTCTCTCTTTGGGGGGGATTTCATAATCATAATTATCATGTCCATCATCCAAACCGAGCTGAGGAAACACAAACAGATGTTGTGTAATAACAGCTCAGAGTGCTGATCTCAGGTCAGATGCTGGAGTCTTTCACCACATATTTGGGATGTCTGACACTCCGGTTCACTGCAGTAATGAGTTCAATTAGGTGTGTTATGAGAGACGACCAAAATATGCCGTTTTGTTGGGTTCCAGAACCAGAGACAGAAATGAACCAGGGTTTGGGGCAAAATGCTGCCTAAAAGTAACAAATACATCCAGATATTTAGGATGTGGGTGCAATATATATATATACATATATGTCTTTAATGTCTTATTTTTTAATGTATTTAAAATATGAAAATATGAGTTGAAACACCATATTGATCAATTATTTTATTCAAGTATTTGACACACACACACACACACTCACTCATTCACACACACACACACACACACTCACTCCATATGACCCCTTTAAATACAACTTTGGAAGATTTGGGATGTAATGCACAAATCAAATGAATTATCTCTTTAATATCTTTAATTGAAATCTGATCTGATATTTTGAGGAATGTTGGTAACCAAACAGTCTAATTGTCCATAATATGGACAAAAAATGGAAGTCAATGGAAACTGAAACTGTTTGGTTACCAACATTCCTTAAAATGTTTTCCTTCGTGTTACACAGAAGAAAGTTATACAGGTTATACCATAGACTGTATAAAAACACAGACGTAGTGTCGGTGACGTCACCCGTAGGTTCCTGAAGAGCGTTTTTGAAGCCTAAAGTGGGCGGAGCTGGCCGTCGCCATCTTGGCAGCGCGTCACTCCCGGATAATCGAAAATGGGCAAAGAGGCGGGAGCAGGTTGCTGAAGCCACGCCCACCTAGCTCGACGGCAGTGTCATCAGCGCCAATCCACCTGTCACTCAAGTGGTCACGCCCTTAATTATGCAGAACTTTAAGGCTTAATATAATTTAAACGGATGAGTTATAAAAAAATTCACCCTCCTCACAGTTGTCATGAAGGACAAAATTAGCTATATAGATCAAAATAATTTTTTGAACCAGGCTGTAAACATGTTTTTTTCTGCTGTAAAGTTGGGCATTTTAACATGGGGAGTCTATGGGATTGACTCCCTTTTGCAGCCCGCCTCTAGCGGCCAGTCGATGAATTACAGTTTAAGTCACTTCCGTGTTGGTTTCACGAGAGAGAGCGGAAGGTTGCCGCTTGGGTTATACGGTACGAGGGCAAGTAAATAATGGCAAGTTTTCATTTTTGGGTGAACTGTCTCTTTAAGTCATTTTTACTGAAGATGTTTTTCTAGCTGTATGCAAACAAAATCACAAATCGAAATCTCGCTTGTATTACGATTTGAACAGGATTTTTCAGTGAATAATATCTTGGGTCTGTTTCTCACACAATGCATCAAATGACTTCAGAAGGTTGGGAATATAGTGCACAAGTCATATGAACAAGTGTTATGATGCTTTTATGTTCTTTTTGAAGCTTAAACTCGAATGTTCGCCATTTTCGTTTTTGCTGTATATGAAAAAAAGCATCTCCTTTTGCATTCTACAGAACTAAAAAAACAAAAACATATAAGGGTGAAGGTTTGCTATTGGATAATTCAACTAAAAATTTAAATTCTGCCACCATTTGTTCAAAACGTGGTCCTAAATTTGGTCTTTCGGCTCACACGTCTGGACGAGATTGTTGGAGCATTGACAGAAATCAGCGGCTCAGAAACAGCTGGTGTTTCTGAGTAAATGACGAGTGAAGTATGTGTGTTGGGTTATTATCACAGCCGTCATTATCTGTCTGTCTGTCTCTCACCTGCCTCAATTACAGCAACAGAGCTCAGAAACGGCTTCAAATGCACCGTATGTATGTATATATCCCATCAGCCCATCGCAGGAGCTAGAAGACGTCCCAGCATTCTGCTCTGTATGAGACAAAGGGTTTGTGTTTTGACTTGAGGGAGGTCTTGAGCATCTTCCAGGTTTGTTGGAGCTCAGAGTTGCTCAATCGTCTTTGTTTATGCTGTAAAACTCAGTCACTGAGACTATAAAACCTCTGAAAGCAGAGCATGACTGTAACACTTCAGTCACACTTACGTCTGGATGTCAGCGCGTTAGATAAGAGCATATCAAAACGAGTGTGATTTGATTGAAAAGAAAGCTGCACAAAGAGTTTACAAGCAAAACATTTGGAAAAAAGGAGTTTGATATTTAAAAGCGCACACATCTCTCAAATAAAGTCAACAGTTCTTCAGAGTTCTGCATGCCAAGCCGTCCAATCCGGACGCTGTTGGCAGGTTTGCTGTTGTCTTTGTGATCGCTCGTCGCCGTCGTCGGTTTCATTATGTTTTTATTATGACTAATGTTGGACTGGAGGGATTTGGTTTGTTCACGTCTCTAATAACAGCTTAATCTGATTCATTCAGACACATACACTCCCTCAGCCATGATTACTGCCATGTGTGTGTGTGTGTGTGTGTGTGTGTGTGTGT